GTTGACAAGTCACATCATATTGTAATTCTATTCTTTGCAGCTCAAGCATGCAGTATGAATACTGTGTATTTTTTTTAAAAAAAATTTAGTATCAAGGCTTCAGAAAATGCCATTTACGGCATCCCTTCTGTATGTAACAAAAAGACATTCATAATGTTAGGAAGATGATAAAAACTCGCTCTTTTAAGGTGCAGCTGCTTCTTCTCAATTGCTAAATGCAATTGCTCTGCCCTATTTTTTTCATTTCTTTTGATGTCATATGTGGATATAATTTAGTTCATTTGTTCAGGGTAAAATCTAAAACAAAAAATTTTAGCTGTCCAAAATAGTTTTTAAAAAATTATACATGTAGCTCAACTTAGTTTAATTGAGGTATAGTTATATAAATATTCACTGTTTCATTATCATTAAATATATGTATAGTTTCTGTAATATAGAAGATAAAATTGGTGTCCTCATAACTTTAACAAAGAAAACTCTCAGTCCTATTTATTAATGGTTAGAATTAAATATATAATTTTTTAGCTCAGTTTACCCAGTATTCATCTGCAAAGCCAGATTGCTCTCATTGCTTTTATATTTTTTAACTGTAGTTTTTAGAGACCTATGATGCTCATGGAGTTTAATTTTTTATTAAATATTCAGGTAACAGTTCTGAATTCATGTGATGATGGTGGCATTATATATGATTAAACACTTCAGAACTTTCTGATGTTATCAGGAATATTTTGAGGGAGATATATGGTATTTTCTCAGATAAGAAAAATGTTTTTTAACAATATTATTTTAATCTTCTGTTTTAAGCATCCCTTGGATTTACATTATAACTATGTAAAGCAGTGAAGCAAAGGCAGTTTTAGATAAAGCTAGAAAGTCTGAATGTTTTATTTCAAAATCATGTGAATTGAGGTGGTCAGGTAAGCCTCAGTATCCTTAGCTTTTGTTGATTTTATCACTATCTTTATATTATTACAAAGATATTTGTCTTTTGGAGATTTCATATAAAGATGGCTATAATTAATATTTTCATTCCCAATTTGTGTGTGTTCAGGGGGCACTTTTAAAGCTGACTGTTGTTTTATACATCTAATTTTGGGAAATCAAGTGTATAAGACATCTTGTGATTTCTTAATGTTTTTGTTTGTATGTTCTTCAAAGCTACCACTGTCCTTTATCGTGTTTTGAAGATTGTTTAAAATTCATTTTCCTAAATTAATGTGCAAATAATGCTTTGAGGATATCAGTGTTTTATATTAAACATATTTCCAGTTCATTAAACTGAAGTGTAATTTTTTTCTTAAGAAACGTGAGCTACCATTAGAAGTGAATTTCCAATTGTATGCTGCTCTGTGCATATTGTGAAATTGATGCTTACATTAATTTTTCTTCATATTTTATTAAGCATATAGTTTGAGTGTCATTTCAGTTCAGGGAAATTATTTACCATATACTGGCAGGCATTTTGCTAGGCACAAGAAATGAATGACAGCTTTTGTTCCTGAGTCATTTATGGACATGTGAACATTTAAAATATTCTCTGGTAAGAACAACCATCGGGTTGCTTTGGGAATGCAGGAAGGAGCTCAGAGAGAGAGGGGTGTGTGTGTGTTAGTGAGAGGGGGTAGAGAGGTAGTGAGAGGGTCGTTAGTGAACAGAGCAAGCCTTCCTAGAGAAGATAATATTATTTTAAATTTACAGCTCTTGGGATGTAAAAAAACGAAGTTATATAAATCATATCCAATCACCTAATTATGACTTTTTAAAAAGTTTAATAACCTTTTGAAATCAACTTCTTTTATTTTATGGCAAGAGGAAAAAGGGGTTTCGACCTGGCATGGAGATCCCATTCTTCATCTTGTTTCAGCCTGCGTTCTGTGTTCATCTTTACATTTTCCTCTACTTTTGCGGTTGTATAAAATTATTCACTCATGCGTTTAGGTTGTTCCCTCTGCAGTCTCTTGTGACTAAGCTTGTCCCTATGGAAATGTGGAAACTTTGCCCTTGCGTTGTTAAGCACCACGGTTCTGTGTGGATGAGGCTTCTGTCTGCTTCTGCGGCCTGCTCCCACCCAGGTGGTCTCTTCTGTGACATCTTAGTGCATCCTTCTTGGGGACTGAAAAAATCAGTCAGGACTCCTGTAAGGACTCCAGATGAAGATGGACTTTACTTGAAATTATTACTATAACACTGTTTCCTGTGTGGTAATTTTCTACAAAGTAAGCCTGGAGCCATGTTTTGTCCCACGAGCGTGAATGTCACTTTGAACCCAAGTCTAAAGATGCTTGTGTGGAGTGGGTGTTGTGACATTGTCCCGACATCCCTTTTCACCAATTCTTGTGGACTTCATTTTTTCAAAATTGAACTCAAATGTTACTACTCCTACACCTATTCAAACAATACTTATTCCCTCTCCTGCTCCCCTGCAACATTGTGTATACTTCTCTAATTACTTTTTAAATATTATTTGTATACGTGTTTTTCTCTAGACTGTGAGCTCCGCAAAGACTGGAAACATTTTTCCATTTCCTGATTAAGTATGTTAGTAGCCTATAGTAAACACTCGGACAATTTTGTTGAGCCAATAAATGATTTGTGATTAAGTTTGGATGAAGGAATCTGTATCGGTTGTCTCTAGAGCACGGAGTTTTATGTTTACTTTCTCCTGTGCTTATGATTTCGGGACATTTCTTGAGCCAAAAAAGGTTCAAGGATCATCCTATGAGATTTTGAAATACTACTTAAAAAGAATTCCCTTAAATAGAAACTCAAGGAATATTTTTTTCTAATCCCCTTTAAATATAAACTCAAGGAATATTATTTTCTGAGTAATTAAACATTAGAGTGTAGAACAAATCTGCTTCATCTGTCAGTAAAAATCCAAAATTCCTGCTAAATCTTTCATGATATTCCATAATCTCAACCTTTTGAGCCTTCATTCCCAATCTGTTTGCTGTATGCTCCTATCCTGCTCTAGCAACTGTCTTCCTGTTTTCTGTATAAACAGTGTACTTCTCCACCTTACTGATCACTACTGGGGATTTCTTTCCTGACTCTTAGTTCTTCCCACTAACAATCCCTACCTCTGCCCACTGAAATACTGAAATGCCAAGTAGGCCATTCAAGGCCCAGCTGAAATACCTGCCCCCTGCTTCCCACCCCCGCCCCTTGCTTTTACTAGTTAGCTTGCTTTTGGGTTCCTATGACACAAGCTTATAAGGGCTGTCACCTACTGCTTTGTATCATAGATGCAGTTATTCTAAGAGTGATGCAGTTAAAAGTTACAAATCCAACGATGGTCAGGTTAAATTGAATTTGAAAAGTGATGACCATGTTTAGAAACAAATGAACCCAGCTGAATTTCTTATGCTTTTTTTTTTTTTCAGGTGCAGGTTTCTGAAATTATATAAATTGTATTTTATAGAACATAATAAATGTTTTAGAAACTTTTATGTCAGTTATTTGAAATGTAAGTAAATGGAAAATTTATTTTGGAGGTTGACTAAAATAGAATTTCAAAGCTTGAAACATCTTTGGACTTTGAACACCTGGCAATATAAGACAATTACTGTTTACGAAGTTTACTAGTAATACAAATACATTAGTTTACAGAGAACTTTAATGTCTCATAATTCTTAACAATGACCCTGTGATACAAGTAAAGATTATCACACCTAATTTCTTTGTTGAGCAAATCAGCTCAAAGAGCTCAGGTTATTTACAAAAATTGAATATTAAGTGATAAAACCAGGATTTGAGCCTATGTTTTCTCAATCTAAGTACAGCAATCTTTCTAGATTACTATGATTCTCAGAAGATTTTTTAGCTTTTTGGTCGAGGCTGTCAAAAAGAATAATTTCTAACTAATATTTGTTACCTAGGATTTGTCCCTTGTTCTGAATTGACAACATGAAACTTTTCATAAGACTAAACTTTGGCTGAGCTAATAAAATTTTCAGCTTTTTTCTCCAACTCACAGTAAATTTGGCAAGTAAGTTTCTTAGGAACTTACCAGTATTTTGCAAAGACAACTATCCACATGTATTTAATGGTCATTTAGATTTGTTAGCTTTTATAAAGGCTGAAAATGTGGTTTATTTGAGGCTATATTGAAAAAAAAATACTTGAGCTTTTCCTAAAGCATAAAATAACATGCGGAGTGATTTAACTAACACAATTAGTCAAGGATTCTCAAGAGAAATGTGGTTTAGGTCTTTACAAAGCACTTTTTTTTTTTTTTTCCAGAGAACTTTCCCAGCAATAACGTGAAATAAAATATAATTTCCTTGCTATTTGATAGTAAATCCTAGTTTCCACAGGGATTCTGATTAATTTAACTGCTTTCTACTAGTTGTATTTGATTTAAAAAGCTGTTCTAATATAGAGAATTTCATCTGCAGAGAAAATCTTTTCTTGGTTAAGAGTTCCTCATATAGATAAACATGCTGGGCCTCACATTTGATGGCAAATTAAATAGCAAAGTTATCCCAGAGCTATCATTTATGTTAACTGCTTAATACGTTCCAGGCACTATTCTAAGCAATGTGAAGAATAAATTAGTTAATTAGTTAATTTAATCTGCACAGTAGCTCTACCATAAGCTTACTATTTCTATTCTATTTTATAGTTAAGGAAGGAGACAAAATAAGTGACTTTTTTCTCTCAAGGAAGGGCATTTGCAAGAAAGCAGTTTCGTTACAAAAACTAAAATTTGTTTTGTATTTAGCTCTGTATTATTGAAGTAGGTAGATACAGTCAGTCTGAACATTATATGCTTATATATCTTAGTCCCTAGAAAACCCAGAGAACATGTGACTGTATCAGGTTCAACTAATAGATTCAGAAAAGTTGGAAAAATCAGTGAATTATATGCAAAACACATTATTCATAATGGACTGCTTGTTAAAGGCAAGGAGAGTGTTAGTAAAGAGCTTAGCTAGCTAGATTAGAATAAAATTGTCTCTCTCCATCTGTCCTAATTAGCTTATCTCACCCGCTTTTATAGCATGCTGGTTATTTCAGAAAAGAAGTGAGAGCTGCATTGAAAGGACAACCGTTTTTCTTTATGCTAATTTATAATGGTTTTGAAGTGGTTGTTCATTTTCAAACATAGGCTTTTAAATGTTAGGTCTTTCCTGTAACTCTTTGTTATTGGGAGTTTCAAGGATTTGGACGCTCAGTTAAGGATTTTGCCCTCTCCTCATTCCTTTGGTTTTGGCCCAAATGATTATGTTTCCTTTTTTTGGGAAGATTTCTTTGGGTATTTTGATATTTGTCCTGATAGAAGGAGACTTTCCATCATTAACAGGTATTTAAAAATCTACATTTGTTTTTATCCTTCCATATCTGTAGTATATTCTCTTTAAAAAATAGCATTATTGGATGTGGTTTCTGTAAGAAATTGAATCAAATGCTACTTTGTTAATTTTTGATATTGCTTCATTTAAACTATTTTAAAATGTTTTCAGTAGTTTGGGTTTTCTGTCCTCTTCAGTAATTCTGGTTTAAACCTTACTTTTATTTATTTTTTTGAAATTGGATGTATACTTACTTGATTTTGATAACAATCTTGAATTAAAGTAGTGGGATTAAATGGAAAAAGATTGAATGCTTCACGACTCTCTTCTTTAGATGTACACGCCTGTCTACGATTTGAGCATTGGCTTCTGAATCCTAATGCAGCAAAGTGTCAGTTTTTCTTTATTTATTACCGTTTATACTGTATCTTCATTATCAGAAGACTTGATTATACTTTCACTTTGTAGCACAAACCTACTTATCTTTAGAGGAGATCCAAGAACCCAAGAGTGCGGTTTCTTTTCTCCTGCCTGAAGAATCAACAGACCTTTCTCTAGCTACCCAAAAGAAACAGCCTCTGGACCGCAGAGAAACTGAGAGACAGTGGTTACTCAGAAGGCGGAGGTCTATTCTGTTTCCTGATGGAGTCAAAATCTGCCCAGATGAAAGTGTTGCGGAGGCTGTCGCAAATCATGTGAAGTATTTTAAAGTTCGAGGTAAGCAAATATCCTAATCCTTCAGCTCCATAGTGAAATTCAAACGTAGTTCAATCATTTGTTAAGTAACACTGTGAGTCAACATTTCTGATAGTTTAGACAGGACTGAGCCAAAATTACCTTTCTATTGCCAAGAATAGAAATGTAACTTCAGAGAACAGTTTACATTAAGAGAGGAGGTATGTTTTTTCCCAGTGCCCTTCAATGAAGGCAGTAGTATCATTTAATAATGACATGCACTTAACCAGAAGAAGAACACTTTCATCGTTTGAGTTTGTAGGTTTTTGGTATGTTATGTAAGAAACTTTTTTCACGTGAGAACAATCACAATATGATGTCTTTCATTAATTTCAATAACATATTCAGAGAGGAAATGTCTTAAATCTTTTTAAGTGCTTCAAAAATACCAGTTTATGTTTTGGGCTACATTACTTTTTACTTCTCCATTATAGTAAATGCCTAAGTATACCCACAAAACAGATTTATGAAAGTATACTCATCTGTTTGCCTATTTATTGATAGTTACTGTACACATAAAATATAATCAGTTTCTATATTTTATAGTTCAGTTATTCTACAGATCGACACTCGATGCTCTCTGGTTGATACACATAAAACTTTTTACATCTAAAATGATGGCATTTTTCAAAATAAACTCTCACATTTTATTTTGTTTTTAATTAAACAGTATTCTTGATCTCATACCTTTTAATATAAATTCATTCCATTTCTCATATATTTACTAACATTGCTTAACTGACCTTAGTATGTCCCTTAGACATTTGAAGGACTCCCAAACTTTGCTTTTCGCTGCTCAAGAGCCAATAAAAAGCTATAATATGGATGCGATGTTAGTGAACAAGGTGGAGATAGATAATGAAGTAATTGTAAAATTAAGCTTTTTAATTCATGCAGTTATTCATTCATTAATTCAACAAATGTTTATTAAGCCTGAATTTTCCAGGCACTGGATTATATGAACATTCTGTCCAAGCTGCTACTTTATTCTTTATTTTCCTCCTTCTGTCCTTTCGTTCTTCCTTTCTCATCAAAGTCGTAAAAATACAATGAAAATTTAATATAATACCAGCTATTACACATATTTGTATATTTGATATTTTTGTTTGTTAAAGTAGTACAATGTATTATGTTGGCAGCTCTTTATGAGTATATTTCTATTTTTTGATTGTATTTGAGAGCTATCAAATATTATTATGCAGTAAACTTTCCTTTTACTTTTTAAATCGAGGTCCATAGACCTGGCATTTTGGGTATAGGGCATATGCCAGAAATGGAAAATTCCAGGCAGTGGGAAGAAAATAAAGGAACTGAAGGGGAATGAGAATGACAGTTAATAATTTATCAAGATTTTGTTTCTACCACCTGGATTTTTACTTTATTTTATTTATTTATTTATTTATTTATTTGAGACCGAGTCTCATTCTGTCGCCCAGGCTGGAGTGCAGTGGCAGTGAGATCTCAGCTGGCTGCAACCTCCGCCTCCTGGGTTCAAGCGATTGTCCTGCCTCAGCCTCCCAAGTAGCTGGGATTATAGTCACTTGCCACCATGCCTGGCTAGTTGTGTGTGTGTGTGTGTGTGTGTGTGTGTGTGTGTGTGTGTGTGTGTTTAGTAGAGACAGGGTCTCACCATACTTTATATTACTTTAAAATGAGACTATATAGATATTTGGGCAGCTGATTAAATAGTGAAGAGGAAATGACCAGTCCTGTAAGGGATTTGGTCAAACCTTTTGATTGCTTTGCACTTGTTTTTACAAATTCAAGAGATGCTGTTGAAAAAGAAGCTGACAAAAATGAAAATAAAGTATTCCTAGAATAACTGATTTTAAAATACAGATGCTATGAATAAGATCCTTGAAAAAGGATTTCATACAGCTAAGGTGGTCGGCATACCACATCAAGATTATAGCTGTGATAGCTGTTACTGTCACGGTGAAAAATAAATATTTCATTTGTTATGTTTTTAAAAATGGAGATAAATGAGTATTTCAACATAGGTCTTGCTTGATTTTGAAGAGAGAATTTGTATTATGCCCGTAACACCAAATGTTTGCGATTTAGAGGGAGGGAATTATTCAGTCTTAGCTCTTTCTAGCAAGCTAATTTAGTCTAATGGTTTTCTCAGTTTTTCCTTCATAAAGAATTTGGTATCAACTGCTAAATGTAGCAAATTAGAAAAGTGTTTCTAAGCAAGATGCAACTGTATTTAACCTAATGATTTGTAAACTTAAATAGATAGCATACTTGGACACCCCCTCTTTAAAAAAAAAGTTACATTGTTGGACTTTTAAAAATAGAGCTTTATTGAGGTATATTTTAATGGAATATAGCCTGCATATATTTAAAATATGCCATTTCATTAGTTTTGATAAATATATCCTTGAAACCATTATAGTTAAGATAATAAACTTATCAATCACTCTTAAACATTTCTTTATGACCATTTATAATCCCCACCTTCCTCAATAGCTCTCCTTACCCCAATAGTGAGCCGACCATGAATCTGCTTTCTATCACTATGTATTGAGTTTGCATTTTCTATACTTTTATATAAGAATGGAACATACTCTTTAGTATATACTCTTTTTGGTCTTGTTTCTTTTAACTCAGTGTACTTATTTTGAAATTCATGCATTTTTTTGTGTGTGTATCAGGAGTTTGCTGGCCTTTATTGTTAGGTAGTATTCTATATTATGGCTATAATATAGGGATATTTGGGTTGTTTTTAGTTATTACTGATTACAAGGAAAAGATTATCATTTGGGTACAAGTTTTTCTGTGAACAGATTTTCATTTCTACTGAGTCGTAATAGTGGATCATCTGGGTCATGTGATAGGTGGATGTTAACTTTCTAAGAAGTTGTCAAGTTTTCCAGAATGACTGTATCACCAGCAGTGTGGTAGGATTCCATTTCCTTCACATCGTTGCAACATTTGGTATCGTTGGTCTTTTTTAACTTCAGCCGTTCTAGCGGATGCATACTTATTCTGGTTTTAATTTGTATTTACGTAACCACTTATGACTAACAGTTTTGAGCACTTTTTAAAACATAGTTATTTGTCATTTATAGATCTTTTTTAGTGAGGAGTCTATTTGAATATTTTACCCATTAGAAAATGAGTTGCTTGTCTATTATTGAGTTGTAATAGTTCTTAATATGTTCTAAATATAAGTTCTTTGTCGAATATATCTTTTGCATACATTTTTTCTCATAATATGTAGCTTACTTTTTCTATTTTCTTAATGATGTCTTAAGGAGAGGAAATTTTGACATTTGATAAAGGCCAGTTTATCAGGCTTTTTGGGGGAGCATCCTTTTAGTTTTCGATCTAAGTTTGCTTAACCTAAGATCACAAAGATTTTTCTCAGTCTTTTCCTAGAGAAGTTTTACAGTTTTTAGGTTCTAGATTTAGATCTGTGATCTGCTTTAATTTTTGTTTATGACATATGAATCAAAGTTAATATTTTTGTATATGCATAGCTAATTGTTTCAATACCATTTGTTAAAAAAGATTACCCTTTCTTGCCTTTGCACCTTTGTTGAAAGTCAGTCTTTATATGCGGTGGATCTGCTTCTGCAGTCTTCATTCTGTTCCACTTACTTGTCTATTTTTATGCCAGTACCATACTGTCTTGTTTACTGTAAGCTTTATTGTCGATCTTTAAATCAGATAGTGTAAGTTCTTCAACTGTGTTCTGTTTTCAAATTTGTTTGGGTATGCAGTCTTTTATAATTCCATATAAAGATTAGAATGAACATACCAAGTTTTACAAAAGGCTGTGCTGCGATTTTGATTGGGATCGTGTTTTATTCTGTAAATCAATTAGGGGAGAATTACATTGCCATCTTAACAATACACGTTGACTGTCATCCAAAATGCTTGGGACCAGAAGTGCTGTGGATTTCACGTTTTCTTGGGTTTGTGAATATTTGCATAGACATGAGGTATCTTTCGAATGAGACTGAAATCTATACACAGAATTCATTTATGTTTCATATATACCTTATACACACATCTGAAGTATTTTTATACAATGTTTTTGATAATTTTGTGCACGAAATAAGTTTTTGTACATTGAACCATCAGAAAGCAAGCGTGTCACTATTTCAGGCACCCATGTGGACAATCTGTAGTTGTTTGGCGTGATCGTCATGCCTGACTCTGAATTTACATGCTACAAACAAGCAATCATTTTCTTATACTTATTTACATATAAGTACTTTATGGTAAAAATATGATATACTGTTGATACCGTGAAGAAGAATGTGTTCAGGGTAACTAAGCAGAACAGTAGCATCACCAGAATACCTGTATCAGCTGTTAAACAACAGTAAGAACAAACAATGGCAGGCTTTTAGTTTCTATCCACAATGACGTGTTTTGATTAAAGGTTATCGTACAACGTACTTTATTACGGTTGTTCGTGTGTCTGGCCTGCATGGGCGCCATTTTATGACCCTTTGTGGGTGGGCTTGGTGGAGTAAGAGAGGCATTTGTAGAGTAGCTATCTAAAGCTCTCTTCAGAAGTTACTAAAGGCTATATCCTTATTTGTCAAGGATAAGAATTCTGAACTGCTTAGTTACAGGCCAAGTGGTAAAGTATGCAGTATTTGTCTGTGATGGAATTTTACCTTCCTTGCTACCTCTTTGCCTGGAGGTCATTCTGATTGTGCTCTTCTCTCTTTTGCCTACAGTGTCCTATCTAGGTTTCTCCTTTCTGAGCTATGCAAATGCTCCAGAAAATGTAACCATTCTGAATCCTGTTATTCCAAGTTAGTTAGTTGAAACTTCTTGTCAGATAGCTCTCAATTGAAAAGCCATTGGATTAAGGATGCATTACCTTTCCAGAGGGAATTATATTTTTTTACAGCTTTTACTGGGATGTAATTCATACATTATACAATTTAGCCATTTATATTACAAAATTCAGTGGCTTTTTAGTATATTCACAGATATACCGAATCACTGCAGTCAGT